TTAAGCTCAGGTTTCTCCCACCCTTTCGTCCCTTCTTCACTTTTAAAGACTAGGTCTTGCATATGGAAGAAAGAAAAGTCGCCAGTCATGGGGCAGGAACACATTGTAATGCCAATGCAGAACAACATTTTCTCCAGGATTTTTCACCAGAGGGTATGTCTAAATCGCAGGAGGAACACCAGTTCCTCCTTTTCCTGCTTTTCTGCTGTAAATTATTTGGTGCCAAACCATAAAATCCCCAACCACACTGCACCAGAACAAAATAGGAGACAGAGATGTGTCCAAAGACCAAATCATCTGGTTTTCAGTCTGGCTTGATTTATCAGTGTTTTTAAACCTGATGGTAGAGACAAGACATATATGCCAGGATATGGATTGTTCACAATTTCTTTGCAGAAAACACTACTCTGGGCAAATGCAACTCTAGCTGCTTTCTTTACTCATGGTTAGTACTATGTGTATCTGCTCTCTGGCTGACTGACTCACACAAACAGGTTTGAGTTTAAGTATTTCAGACTATAAACTGAAAATTAACTAGTGACAAATAATCTGCTATACTGCCTGAGAATTCACTGTTTTATTAACATTCCAACAAATGCTAAATGAAGATGAGCACAGACCCTTACGTTTCTGTACATGAAAATTATTGTGTACTTACATATTGCAGATCACTGGTGAATCTGGAAAAAAAAAAGCAACCTGGAAAAAATACACATAGCTACCTGGCATTATATATCCATAGTCATTAATAGGAGGGCAGCTGCTACTTGCTTCAAGGGTGTTAGTTCAGAAATCACAGAATTTAGTCACAAATATGTAACTGAAAGGTGTTCAAGCAGGTTTTGGCAAACACACTCCTAAAAGAGCATCACCCAATTTGTATTCTAAAGCTCCAGGAATGGCAAGGCAATGCAGATAGTATCTGGATAACCACTTAACCAAAAAGTAGAAAATAAGAGAGAAATGGTGATCTGAAATGTCCCTTCCAACCTAGACAATTCTATGATTCTATGAGATTTCACTACTTTGTAACAAAAAAATATTTGAACTACTCTTAAAAATACAGTAATATTTTTACTAAGTATTTTCAAAAGCACAACGAAGTGTTTTCCCCTATATTATTTAAATAAAATGTTCAGGGCAAAGTGGGAAGGGGCACTGGACAGACACTGAAGCAAGTTATCTACCTGTTACTCTTCCTCTCCGAGGTGCCTCGGCCATGTGTACATCCATGGAACTGGTTCAGCTGCCAGCCTTGTTGGATGGTGAGTGCTCCATCCTGGCAGCACCTGGGGCAGCACATTCATGCATGGCCACCACAGGTGCTGTGCATCACTGTAAAAGAGGCCAAAAGCCTCTCAACCAAAGGATCTGAAATTTAACTGGGACCAAGGAAGAGGGCTGAAAGGATGGCTGCAAAAACTCATGCAAGACCTTACATCTCAGAGAAGGACACAAGGAAGATTCATCAAATGTTTGTTTACCTATAGCATCTGCCACAAGAACTGCCCATAGAAAAGCCCTCAGAACCCCCAATGAAACCAACCCTCCCAAAGACAGCAGTGATGGAAACAGAGTGCTTCCTCACAGAATACCAGGAACCCAGGCAGCAGCTCCAGAGACATCAGTCCTGGGTAATCTACATAGAGTCATCACTTGGATTCCTCCAGCAGAATGAGCCCAAATTGCAGGGGGAAGGAAGTTTATTTTGCTTTGTTGGTGGTTTTTTGGGGTTTTTTTTTATTTTCTTTTCTGAAAACATCTTGGTTTCTGTTTCAAGTTCTACAGAGGGGAAAAAGCTGTAAGCCCCTAGAGGTGTTGATGGGCAAGCAGCCTTGCAGGACTCCACTCTTTTCTGCAGGAACAGGCTCCATGCCAGAGCTAGTTAGTTCTGTGGACCTGACCTCGCTGTGAACAGCTGTGCTTCTCCACCCTGCCCTCCTGGACCATGCCACCAGAAGGGTAGGGGTTGTTTGTACCAGTTCTTCAGGTTAACCAGAGAACCCTCTGCAGGGTCAGCCTCTTATTACCCTCCAGCACCTGAGGAGTCAGCTGGGACAAACCCAACCAGGCAGCAGCTGGTCATCCCCGCTGCAGGCTGTATTGTGAAATGGGACGAGGCTAAAGAGGACACGCCATTTAGGGAACAGCATTCCAGAATAAGAATTAAATGTAGTCTGCCATGGGAGCAGAAGAACATGAAGAGATTGCATCTTTGGAACGAGGAGACAAGATTTTAATCTCCCTATTTAATAAGATACCAGTAAACTAGAGGACAGAAGTCTCCCAGCTACGCTGGGTTGAGATCTCTAATTAGTTCATGAAGCATTTTACTGTGAGTATAATTTTATACGTGTAGCAAAGCAAAAGGCACTGATTAATTGCAACTCATTAAGTGTAAGTTGTTTTGTAATTAGGAAAAATGAATGCAGGCATGGCAAGGTTGGTGCAAATGAGAATTCCACCTCGCTGAGTGTTGTTTCCTAGAGCAGCCAGTCTGCTCAAGGAGCAGAAGAGTCACTTGAAATTCAGTCCTGACCCATGAGGACAGGCCGTCAGACCACGCATTCCAACTTTTCTGAAAGGCAACTAGGAAGAAATCTTAAAAAACAAAGATAATGAGTGCCTTTGCTACAAATGACTGGGTTAGCCAATTAGTGTCTGTCTCCACCCATAAGCTATTAAAAATTCATGTTCCATGTGTAGAAAGCCTTGCTATCCTATCTAGAGTACCTGTGGACATGTACATCACCTGTGTTCACGTTATCGTTGTTTAGAGTTCTGCTAGCATTTATGCAGAAGGTAAGTCATACTTATCTCTTACATAAATTGTACACTTCTAAAGGAATCAAACAAATATCCAAAGTAAGATATTACCAACAAGATTTAAATACGATAATATTTTCTAAATTTTCTCTTTACCCACTTTGGGAGAGAAAGTTCAGAAACCATCACACATATTAATACAGAAGAGGGACTGAAAACAAAGGCAAAATGAAGCTCTAGCGCAGAAGCATGTTCTTCAAACAAGACTACCAGGGTTTCCAAAAATACCATCACTCACCTCAGCTAGAAGGTTGGCAAACTGTAGATACTTCCTACCTTTCTGCTTTTAATCCTATCCATTAAACACAAATATTCTCTGAAAAACTAAATATAGTTTAGCCAATCCTTTTTCTATTAAAGGAGGCAGCAACCATGGACGTGGGTTTCCCCAAACAATAGCTTTGGGAGAAGACTCATGTGACATTGCATCATACTCATCCCCCACAGCTGGCTGACAGGGATTTTTAGGTCTTTACAGTAGTACCATACAGCGATTGACCACAAAACCCAGTATAAGACAAGACAGTTATGCACCATTTTATTTGGTGATAATTTGTTTTCTACAAAAGCAAGCACCAAATTCTGGGAAAGTCTGGGTCTGGAATTTGCAGCTCAGTTACGACTTAACTAATAATAACTAACACAAGTGTAAAAGCCACATAAGAAACAGAGTTTCCTTCCCACAATACCGCTGGTGAAGTTGCCCACAAAAAGAAAACAAAAAAAGCCTGAAAACTTCACACAAGAAAATTCTTTTCTTTCTGAATGGACACGCTGTACTCCCACTCCCTCACAAAGGAAATTAAGAGCTTCTTTATATTTCAAGCCTACTCTGTTTTTCTCAACAAAATACAGATGAAAGGGCCATGTGAATTATTAACAGATGACAAGAGAGAGCTAGCCAGGTATTTCAAACTCTTATGTCTCTTCTTCCTACATGAATTCTTCAATAGTGCATGCAAGTGAGTCTTCTTACTTCTTCCATCCTTTCAGTCTGTAATTAGAGCCCATTAAGTAACTTGTTGAGAAATAAATGCTTTTGTACGTTCCTTCCTCTCTACTCTCTTTCCCTGGTGGAGCATTTGCCCTGACCATCGGTGACAGAGAACTTCCCACCTTGTTCTGAAGGGCAGTCAGTGAATCAAGTGAGAGTCTTTTCCCTTCGTAATACCTTTTCAGTAGCTCAAGCTCATGTGGAACATCATTAAATGCAGTGGAAATAGAGATACCATTTACTGCTGAACCGGAATAGACAAATAATCAGAAAACCTGAAAACAGACTAAAGTTCTTGTCATGTTAAAATGTTAACCATCGTCTCATGTTGAAAGTAAATCCCGCTTGTAATAAACATTTTGGCCAAACCCTCCTCCCCCATTCCCCTTCCCCAAGCCCCATCGACAGAGAGGTGAACAGAAGGACACCACATTAATCCAGCACAACTGCTTGGTAGCATGCTTGGTGTTTACACGAAGCTACAAACTTCATACTGCTTCAGTCCATTTGCATCATTTAACTCAAAAAAAAATATCTGAATTTGTCAAATAATCTCTACAAATCCAATGCAAGAAATAAAAATGAAATAATGTAGGTTAGTATCAGTGCAATTGAAAGATAGTATTTGACAACTAATGTAGGAAAGCCTATTGAAATTAGAACTACAGCAGTAAGCTTTAAAAACAGCAAACTTTTTGACAACTTTGAAAAATAATCCAGATGATCTTAAACGAGAATATGCTTTTCTATTTACGCCAAAATTTAAATCCACAGATTCTAAGCTTCCATCAATTAAAAGGACCATTTCAAAAGGTACAGTAAGGCACAGCATCTGACATAGCAAAAACTGGGGGAGCAGAGTTTCCCACAGTGGTGCAGGTAGCTCCCAGTGATGCCACAGGGAATTACCTGCCAAAAACATCAACCAGAATAACCTCTTTGGTTTGGACTGACTCCGCTTCACACACAGGCTGTGTATGACGACTGCCATAAAAATGGACAAAAGCAGCACATACATTAGCAGCAGCTCCTGCTTCAAAACAATAAGCACAGCACATTTGCCCCTCAGCCAGCTCCCCGCTGAAAGTACTCCAGAATAAGCCACGAAAACTTAACAGTGAGCTTTCGAACAACAGGACATCGTGTGCTCCAGAATCTACAGAATCAGTCAAGTACTTACAAGGTTTCTTAAACAAATTGATCATGCCTACAATTTCAGACGAAGTCAGAGAAACTCCAGACTTGATCTTCTCTGAGGAAGAAACAAAAGCCGTGAAATCACCAAAGAGAAAGGTTTGTTTAGCTTTTTTTTTTTTTTTTCTGTTTTTAAGAGAATGCTGAAGGACATACAGTAACATGATAGGAAGCTTGTAGTAACAGCATTACAAATCAAGCTGAGCACGTATTTCAGCACTCTCTTTCTATTTAGTGATCTCCCTGTGGAAAAGGCTAAGGGAGGTTTTAACTAGCAAGAGCCAAGGTGATTTCAGACTGATAGCTAAGACCTCCCGACTGATCTTTCATGCGATAATCTTTTGGTACATTAGTTTATATAACTGCTTTTTGCTCAGTCTTGCCCAGCTACAAAGCCAAAAATAGCTTACCTTTTCCACAAGGGCAATAAGGTATATACCTGGAATATTAGGCAACTATTTAAAGGTGCTATGAATAACAGCAGCAGATTTTATAAAGTCATAAAAAAACCCCGTCATTATATTATCATCCATGACTTTAATTTTACAAGAACAGTTTAATGTCAATAACTGCCATGAAACCTGGAGGCTGTGTTTTCAGAGGAAAAATTGTGCCAGACACTAGTGTTTTCTGAAGCATCCTATGGTACCACGAAACGGAGACAGACATTAAGCAGCCTATATTATCGTCATAAAAGAAGTAACAATGATGCAAATCCCCCTGAGAAAGCCATAAACTTTTGAATATAAAACCTAAAAAAGACTTCATTATGCAGTTCTCAGTCAACACAGGCTGAGCCAAAGCCTGCTACAGTACTTCTCTGTGCTCTCGATAAAACTTCCCATGGCTCCCGTAGCTCCTTTCGCAGAGGTGCCAGTCTTCCACGAATAGATCTTTGCAACCAGGATTTAAGGGAAAATAGACCCTGTAAAGTGAGGCTCCCAGGTCTGCAGTTTGGCATACAAATGGGTGGTCTCATTTGCAAATCTCCCAGGAACCAAGCAGCTTATAGTGCAGTAAAATCCTCAACAGGAAATAACATGTTTCAATGCTGTCTTTTCCATTCTTGCATGGTGTTGGTTCAAAACAACATCATACAAGTTTTACCCAAAGACCAGCAACAAGTGGCTAAGCCTAGGCCTTTACATCCCAAACATGTTTTGACCAAAAAAAAGTGCTTCTCACGAAGCTCAGGATCTAGAGTAAGATTTTACTTTTTTAGTGTGGAACTAAAGAAGTTTATGATTATCTTCTGGTATAAACAGAGATTGTTAGCACTTGTATATCCATCACAGAGGCTTTTGAAGTCACTGAGGTAAAGCTTTTAACAGAGGAAAATTTTAATTAATCTTTTGTACATACTGATTCTTTAAATCTTACTTTACAAAGTCGATTAAACACACATTATTAGTTTGTTTGGAGAAACATTTAAGAATCCCAAGCTGCTTAGCAGCTGCATTTTGCTAAGAACTGGAAGTACAGATGAACAGAATCATTTCCCCAAAGCACAGGCAAATGGGACCAAACTGAGAATGAGAAAAAATAAAATAAAAAAGTTGAGTTGTATCTTCCTGTCTCCCTCTCCTCTGAGGTATCTCACACCAATTTTTTTTTTTGGCAGATACATCAAGACTTAAGTATAATAATGACTTTAGCAACCTCTTTCTTTAGGGATACGTTTTATTTCATTAATGAAACATTGTCGGGAGCCAAGAGAATAGCTTTCACCCAATTTCCCTTTTCATTAAAAAGAGCTAAAAAAAAAAAAAAAAAAAAAAAAAAAAAAAAAAAAAAAAAAAAAAAAAAAAAAAAAAAAAAAAAAAAAAAAAAAAAAAAAAAAAAGAAAAAGACGAATAGAAAGATAACACTACTCTGGTCTGACAAAATGCATGGCTTTTTCACCCATCTCAAAGGTCTGTTTTCTCCATTCCAGCAGCTGACAGGACCAAGATCCCCTGTAGCAAATAAATCACTTTACTGAGCCCCCTTAGGTCTTCCCCCTGTGGCCCTACACTAAATCTTAATAGCCTCCCTCCTGATAGCCAGCAAGCCAGGACTGATTCAGACCTCCAGAGCTTACAGTAGGGCTCAGGACCATCAGAAAAGCTGCATGGCTACCTGAGCAAACACTCTGTGGATCACAGCTGTGGTCACTCCCCTGGGCACATTCTGCAGCTATTCAAGTCCTTTGCAGTTTGATCACTTCAAACCCCATGACTCTGATCCAACTTGAAGACCAACAGATGAACACTATGATATTGAAAAGCATAGGTGTCAAGAGGTACCTCTGAGAGGGACTGCCTAATCTAGCATCAAGGTTGGAGATGCATGAATGACCATCAGACAATCTGCTATCTGAGGATGATTAGCAGTGTTTAATCATCACACAAGGTTATCAAAGGACTTTTTTGTAACAGCAGCTGAGGACCAGCTTTAGTCAGACAACATGCATGAAGACAAGTGGTGGACAGTCCTACAATGAAGAGGTAGAAACCACTCTCCCTATAACTTCCTAATATCAGCATTATCTCAGTCACACCCAAACTGCCTGCCACCACTGCCACAGCCTTTCCCTGTTCAAGCAGGGATGGAAATTGAAACACAAGCTTTATTTACACATTGTAACGTTAAATGAAAGAGGATTAAAAAGTGAAGTGGCAAAACGTAATTCTGTGCAGTCAAAGTTTACAGGGAAAAATAAAGCTTCTTTCCACTGACTTACATGAAAATAGGTTTTAATAACTGAAGAGTGTAATGCAGTAGAAATTTAAAAGGTCCTAGCTAATCCCCAAACAACTCCAATTCATGGCAATTACAAAAAAAAAAAAATATTAAGGCACATGTGGTGTTTTGTTTTTACATTTTGTTCTGCGGAGAATAATTAAATAATTCACATCACTGAACTGGCAGCGCTGCCGCCCACTGATGCCAAACTGAAATGTTTGTCCCTTCTCCCCAGCTTAGCTGACTTCATGTTCCATCTTGACCTATTTTGGATGCGACAGGAAACGGAGACACTGAGCTTGCTAAAACCTTGTTATACGTCATTGTAGATATTGGAAGTTATTAATGAAACCATAGATTTGGCATGGGCACTAGACCTTTAACTCAGGAAACATGCTTGGTCAGAAAACTTACCTGCTGGTTAAAAACCCCCCAGATTACCACTCCAATTAAGTGCTCCAAGCTATATGCAGTCAGTGGAGAATATTGATGCTTGTAAGAGAAATCGAGTGAATGAGGGAGGCAGACAATAAGCCAGGCAAAACCAACTTCACTGGAAGCCAGGGAGTTTCTGAAGGGTGGTTAATGGTACAAAAGATGGGATATATTATTTAGACAAAACACATCCCACAGGAACCACTCTGAGGCTATAAAGAGAGCTCTCAAGTAACATAGTTGGCCTCTTGTCTCTCATTTGTCCTTTAAATGCTGGTTTTCCAATGGAAAAAATCTCAAGTTAGCTTAAGAAATTTAACAACACATGGCATTTGCGATGGTTCTAATTGGCTTCTTCAAGTAAACTCTATGTGGTAATGACCAGCAAGGCTGCCTGGTTCCCACTGAGAGAACTTTGAGAAATAATTTTTCAGTTTCCTCACTAGTTTACAGGGGCCCCATTTCCAGACAAACAGCCCCAAAAGCAAGGTCCTCAGCAGCAGCAAACACACAAAAGGTTGAAGGGAGCAGAGTCTCCCCAGGGACGTGCACCTCTGCCCCGGAGCGATCACTGATTGCAGAGTGCCCACCACTGCTCCCCACGACATGTTCTTCTGAAACTAGAGTTTTCAACACAACACCTCTCTGAAACCCTGATTTTATGCAACCAAAGACAAAAATGGGGATTTTTGAATGTCTTTACCAGAACTCTCTGTTGGAAAGATGCATCTCTTGTATTAATCAACATCCTTGCAGCACAGTAAAACCTGGGAAGTGTTGCTGCTTATCTTATTAAGCCACAAACCCTGTTTAATCTTGATCCATTATTGTCTTATCTATGAGCAGCTAAATTTCCACCAGGTTGGCTCAACTAACCAACTTATGTTGCCGTGATTTTGACATTTCAAAATAATTCTGTTACACAACCAGAGCAGAAATAAAAACACTCGAGCAGCTGAAAGAGTAGAGCTGAATAAGAAATGCTACAAAACAGGAACAGATTTAGGAATAATGAGGTCACCTCACACCTCAACACGCATGAAGTTATTCTGTTCACTCCAATAACTTCACGTTTAGTAGTAGTCACAGCACAAAATACCACACCATTTTAAAGAGACAGAAGCATTTTCAATATTTTGGCCAATTTGAAAAAATAAACAACACCAATCATGGGTTACCCTTCCAGCTTTCTCCTGGCTTTCTAGACGAAGAGAGAAATAGGGAGGGAGAAAAATGTTCTCTCCCTCCTTATCCCCTCCAAGTGAGAGACACCTAACCTGAGTGTGTGGTTGTAGCTCCAGACCACAGAGCAAATGTGGTGTTTATGGGGCTTCAGAAGCATCTTGTGCCCGCTCGAGCACTCAGGTACTGCTATGGTGACAGCAGGATAGGTCTCCTCCTCACCAGATGATGTGGCTTTTCAGCCTGTCTTATTGCAGATACCTACAGTCTCTTCCTTATTTAACAAGGTAGAGATACGGTACTAACTTCCCACCAAACTATCAAGTCACATGAAAGCAAACTTCAGTGCCATGAGGTCTGGCAGAGCCGGTGGTAGGAGATCCCTGGGAACGTGGAGGAGGAGAAGGCTGGTAGGAGGTGAGGAGATACATATCCAGGTGACCAAAGACGAATGAACAACTGACAAGTGGACAAGAGAGGAAACTAAGGGATCAATACAAGATTAAACCAGGTTGAATCTTCCTTGGTCTGGTAATATCTGTGCAGTCAAGAGCTGGGGTTGTTTTATATGTTTTTAAAAAGACCCCGGAGAACGTGCTTTTCTGAAACAGAGAGAAGAATGCAGCAGTCAGTATCTTATAAAAGAAAGTTCTAGATGTCAAAATCACTCAAAAAGCATGACTGCCTACTGAGCTAAAGCATGATATTGTCGTCCCT